TCTGCCTTGCTGCTCTATGGCCAGTGGCCCTGCTCCCCATTAGGACTAACTGCCCTTTGCCCAAGGTCCTCTACCTCAAAACTTTGGGGGACTGTTAATTCTTTGAGCTGTGGGGCTGCTTTTATTTTGAAAGCATTCTGGACATGGACTGGCTCAGAGGGACAGTTGTTTCTTCCATCCCTGGAAGCTGCACTGCCCAAACCCTCCCCTCAGCCTTAACAACTCCTGGCCTTCCCCATAGGAAGGCCTACCAGAGAGAGAAGCCTTCATCTCTCTCTGGCTTTGATGCCTCTCCACCCTCTTGGCTCCAGGCTCCACTTCCACCCAGTCCATCACAGTCGGGAAGTGCTTTAGCTCTAACCTCCATCCCTCTTGCTGCAATGATAGTTTCCTGTCTTTTCCCTCACCCTCTGAACTTACCCAGAAAAATGAGAGTGCCTTATAAGAATGCCTTACCCGCCTTCCCTAGGTCCCTGAGTTTCCTATCTGCCATCTGCCTGAATTCTCTCAGGCACAATGCCCACAATCTCTCAGAGCTAGGGCTAAGGAGAAGAGTGAAGCTAGTGGGACCTCAGCCCCTTACCTTGAGTACCCAGGCCCCTCCATGCCTCTGCCTTCCTTGTCCCCCCAGCCCTTCACGCTCTCTCCCTGTCTTACCCCTTGCCTGCCTTCACCTCTGTCTGTTTGTCTCCCTGTGACTCTGCCTCTTTCTGCCTTTCGTACTCTTTGGGGCTTTCTATGGGGCCTTCCTCATATGCCTCTCTGCCGCACTCCTTGCCCCCGGTAAGGGTGAAGAACAAGTATACAGTTTTGGGGCCTCTCCCAGGGCATCTGGGGTGAGAGACGCAGCATGGTGAACTGGCCAAGTTCTGAGCCTTGGATTCTCATCCTGGCGGTGCCACTTGAGGGCTAGGTAACCCTCAGCAAGTGCTGCCAGCCTCCGAATCTTCTTCTCCATCTGTAAAGTGGGCATAAGAATAGTCCCTTCCTTTCTGGGCCATGGGAAGCAACCCCTGGCCTGAGGCATGGGCACTGCTTAGTTTGGCATCCACAGATAGTAAGGGCTCTCCATTGCTATGAGGGGTACACCGGGGCAGGGGCAGGCCGCGGGGCCTCCACCATCAGGCTGTGGAGCTGGGGTGGGACAGCAGGCAGGTGTCCATCCTGTACAGTGGGGTTGAGAACAAGGGACCTGAGGGAGGAAAGCTGGTGTTCAACGTGCCTTCTCCAGGCAAGACTTGGGAGTCTCTGGGGCCCCTCAACTCTGCCTCTCCACTCTGGGGTGACTGACCTGGGAGGGGCCACTTCCTGGCTGTTTAACCTTGGGCGAATGACTTGGCCTCTCTGAATCTCACCTTCCCTATGTGTGAAATAAAGATAACAGGCCCATAATTCTAGCTCTTTGGGAGGTCAAGGCAGGAAGAAATTTGAGCTGCAGTGAGCTTGGGAATTTGAGGCTGCAGTGAGCTATGATCGCAGCACTGCACTCCAGCTGGGGCAACAAAGCTAGACCCCAACACTACTTAAAGAAAAGAAATGTGGTATGGGCAGTGCCTGTGGCTCAAGGAGTAGGGTGCCGATCCCATATGCCAAGGGTGGTGGGTTCAAACCCAGCTCTGGCCAAAAAAAAAAAAAAAGAAATGTGGGTAACAGCAGTCGCCTCTCAGAAGGCTGGGTGAACTACAGTAATTAATGCAAGCAAAACTCCCAGAATGGTGTCCAGGCAGTACCGGGTATGTGTTGGACATTACCATTTTTGGTGGCACTATTATTCAGGAAGTTCACACATGTCAAATGTGCATGCCATGCCTGGCTTCATAAAAATGCTCAGAAGAGATGGGCTTGGCTGGCATTCCTGTTATGTGGGTCATTACAAAAGTTTTGAGATACACAAAAATCAAAAAATGTGAACCTGCACAGACAGAAACAAATGAAGCCCTCTCAGCAAGTAAGTTGAAACTTGCAGAGTGAATCAGAAAGGACAGTGTTGACTGTGTTTCTTGGAAGTGAAATAATGAATCATAACACAGTCTGTCTCAAAATTTTTGTAGTGACCCACATATCTGTATTAGAAGGGTATATCTGGGGACATCTGGGGCCAGGCTCCCCTCAGTTCATCAGGATTTGTCAGAACAATACAGCTGTGTCCAGAAGTCCAACTGACACAGGTGATACCTAAGGTGCAGGCTGATGTCTGGTGTGATAGCTAGTGGTGTGTAGGGCTGCAGTGGGCATCTGGCCTTTGGGACCTAAGGTACAGTATCTGGGACTCAGCCAGCTGGTGGTACAGTATCATGGGGGGAGATCTGGGACATGAGTATCCAGCTGAAGACGATTGCACTGTGGCACATAAAGGTGCTGCCTCTCCCAGGCAGGCCTCCTGGGATGGAAAGAGAGTTTGGGACCAGGAGACATCCAGGGCTGGGGACCTGAGCTGTGCCGGGCTGGAGTGTAGCCTGGGCTGGGCACACAGAGCTGGGATATGGCTGGGCAGGCATGCCTGTGTGTGCACGTGGGAGGGAACACAGCATCAGGAGTAGAGACTGACAGCCCCGGCAGCATACACATCTGTTCCCTCACCCCATGTTTGTCAAACACCTCCTGCTGTGTGCCAGGCACTGTCACCAAACAGTCACAAAACAGACATCGACCCTGCCTGGGGAAACTTTCATTCAAATATATGGGCATTTGAAAGGTCAGAGGATGATAAACTTTATGTAAAGAAATGAAACTGAGAAGGTCTGGGGAGAAACAGGGGTGCTATTGCAAGTGAGATATCAAGATAGTGTCAGTGAGGGAGCGAGTGCAAAGGCCCTGAGGCCAGAGTGTGCACAGCCTGTTCTGGATACAGTGAAGAACCCAGTGTGCCCTGAGTGGGTGAGTGGGAATGGGGGGGGGGGTGACCTGAAAGAAGCAGTCAGGCCTGGGAAGTAATGTCCTGTGTGCCATGGGGGAGTCCTCGCCTTTACTTTGAGTAACATAGGAGCTGCCAGAGGCTATTAAGCAGAGAAGGGCAGGATCTGACTTGGATATTGACTGGCTGCCTATAAGGGACAGATAGGAGTGGAGTGTGGGAAGAACAGTGAGGAGGCCACTGTAATTATCATCCAGGCAGGAGATGCTAGCCAGGCTGGGATGGCATGAGTGTGGCCTGACTCTGTGTGTATTATAAAGATAGAGCCACTTAGCATTTAGCTAGTCGGTCTCCCCAGTGGCCCATGAGGTCCACACTCTCACTATCCCTCAGAAACATGGAGTTAGTGACCCGAGGTTACACTGCAAGTAGCAGCAGAGTCCGGATTTGAACCAGGGCCCTGGCACTTACCCAGTGTGCTTTCCTATTGCTGTTGGCCTTTTGTGGTCTGTGAATGTCCTGGGCTTAGGGCATGCAAGTAGCATTTATCAGCACTTGTACCAGTTTTTGGCACATAGTAGGGGCTCAGCAAATATTTGTTGGATGGATGGATGGATTGATGGGTAGATGGACAGGTAGATGGGTGGATGGATGGTTGGATGGATGGATGGATGGATGGGCGGATGGGTGGGTGGATAACTAATGAGTGCATGCAGCTGCCCTGCAGTTTTGCAGCAGTGTATCAGAAGGTGAATGTCGGGATATGGCTAAGGTCCAGGGGAGAAGGACAGGCACATCTGGAGGTGGGCTTCTCTGTAGCATGAATAGGGTCTGCCCTCAGCTGAAGGACAGGAACCAGGCTCCAGCTCTGCTCTGTCCAGTGAGGGTCAGAGTAAATGCTGTGTGGTGTGGTGGGACTTGGGGGAGTCCTGGAGGTGCAGGAGCACCTGAGGCTGAGCCTGGGCAAGGTATCTGCCCTAGGAATGGGGGTGAGGCCATGCAGTAGGGGATGGGGGGGTCAGCAGTGGCTGGCCTGGCTGTGTGGACCATGAGGCTTTCTGTGTGCCAGGAGGCTCTGGCTTGGCACAGCCCAGCCACCCCCCTTCCTGGGCAGCCCAGCCGTCAACCTTCCTCCCCCGCTTCTCCCGACCTTCTCTGGCTGCCCAGAACCAATGGGTTAATTAGATAACGGAGCCTTTGATTAGCGGGGGAGGGGGAGGCCTTCCCCCCAGCAGTGCAGGGAGGGGAGCGAGGAGGAAGGAGGAGAGGAGAGAAGCCCTCCCCTCCCCGTTCAGAAGGAGAGAAAGAAGGAGGGGGGCAGGGAGGGAGGGAGCTGAGGCACAGCTTGGCTCTGCACTGCCGTGTGACTAGAAATTGTAATCGCTGAGAAAGAGAGAGACAGAGCCCGGCGACAGAGAGCAAGACAGACGGACAGATAGACAGAGAATTCGACTGAGCTGGGCTCCCAAGATGAGAGGGTGATAGGGATAGAGCCAGAGGGAGGAATAAATGGAGGAGAAGGAGAGAGGGGGCCTGGTGGTCCCAAGGGAGGCGAGATTGTGAAGGGGAGTCTGAGGAGGGTGTCGGGGCCAGGGGAGGTAGACAGGGACCAGAGGCCAAGGCTGAGGCAGAGGACTAAGAGGAGCTAGGAGAAAGGGGCCGGGGTCGGTGGGTGGAGAGAGGGAGGCTGTTGGTGGGGAGAGTGGAGGTAGAGGTGGGAGTGGGGGTGGAAGGAGACAGGAGGAGGCAATTAGGGAGGGGAGGAGGAGAGGACTGCTGCAGTGGCCAAAGGACAGCCTCCCCAGGGGGTGGGGAGGGCGACAGGCCAGGAGGGGGGGGCGCAGGGAGACCCAAGAAGCCCCTGCGCCCCCCCCAGCACGATCTCAACGGGGAGCCCTGGAGAACTGGGGAGGCAGAGACCCTTCTGGCTGCAGGCATGTGGAGGGGGGGGCCTGGGCACAGGGAGAGGCCCAGCGGAAGCCAAGCCACCAGGGTGAGTGTCCCTCACTGTTGGGGGGGAGACAAGGACGGGAGATGGGGGAGAGCGAAGGAGGAAAGGGGAGGGAGGCCGCTGCAGAAGCCGCTGCAGAAGCCAGCCGTAGGGGGGAGGGGGCATGCGGGCTGGCAGCAGGAGAGATGGGGACAGATGCGGAGGTAGAGACGGCAGCAGCAGGCCTGGAGGACCGGGGTGGGTGCCGGGGCTCCCACAGACCTGCGGTGGGGGGGTCCCCCAGCCTCAAATCCTGGCCTGGGGGATTGTGATGACTCCTTGCTTAGAGGGTGTGGGCTGGGATGTAGGCAGAGTCTTACAAGGTGGGAACAGGGGACTCAGAACAAGGACTGAGCATCGACCTCTGTGGTCACATACAGGGAAAGGAAGACCCTCAGCCCTCACCATGCTGAGACAGAGACACAGGGCTCCAGACGTCCAAGCAGAAAAATGAGCCTGGGGTACAGATACAGAATCAGCCTCTCTCTCCTCCTCTATGTCTCTCTGTCTAGCTCTCGCTCTCACACACATGCACCCAGACACCCAGACACATGCACATGCATTTTTATCTGGGTTAAAATGATCTGGGAAACGTCAGGAGGAGGGAGTGAATGTGCGTGCGTGTGTGTGTGTGTGTGTGTGTGTGTGTGTGTATGCACATGCATGTGGGGAGGGGGCCAGGCTGTGTCCGTGGGACTCAGAGTCCCCCGTGCGAGGGTGTGCCCCTGTCACTCCTGTTTGTGTGAGTGGGTTACATGGACTACCCCCCACTTCTTGGGGACTCTTTAGGGCTGGCCTGTGGGGGACAGAGCTTGCCAGCGTGGGCGTATTCATATACTTGGAGGGGCTGCGTGGAAAGGAGGACTGTGGGTACACCAGGGCCAGATCCCCCCCTGCACTCAGCTGGCTATATTCGAATGCTTCTTCCTCCTAGTGCCTTAGTGTCCTCATCTGTAAATTGGGCATCCTGACAGTTACTGTGAGGCTGAAATGAGAACACCGATGTTTGGTGCATAGCAAAACTCACCCAGTGTCATATCAGGACCATTGTTGTCACGTTGTCATTGTTATGTTATTAGCCCATCCCCTCTCCCTCTCTGTTCCTATGGAGATGGGAGGGGACAGATTAGGAGGTGCTGACTCCCCCACTGCCCACTCCCCTCCCAGAAGTTAGGCACAGGGTCTCCAAACTCCTATCCCCTTCCCCATCAGCTGCCCAGCTCTGTCCTGCAGCAGCTGCTGGCATGGGTCCTACAGAGGCTGTCTCTCCTGGAGTACATACAGTCTCAAGACACATGGGGGGATGGCGCTTAGTGACCTTAGCTTGTGCTACCACCCCAGGCTCTGAACCTCTTGTCACAGCCTCCAGCCTCCTTCCTCCTCGGCTGCTGCCTCCTCCCAGCCACAGCCCTCACCTGCCCACGTGGTGCTCTGGACAGCTGCCTTGTCGGCCACCTTTCCTCTCCCTCAAGTTCCCACTTAAGTCTGACTCTAGTCCCTGGAGCTGCTGCAAGGCCCACAAGGCCTAGACAGGATAAGGAATGACAGGAAGCAGAGTCCTGCTAGGCTGAGCGTGACAAAGGGTATGCAACTGGCAGGTCTGGATGGTGATTCTTCACTGACACTCCTGGGGTGCAGGTGAATGAGGGATACGGAGAGAGCCTAGCACCAACCTCCAGATGTCACAAGAGCACGAGGGTATAAGTGGGTGCGGGGATGGGAGCCAGGGCCTTACCCACTCCACTTGCTCATCACCCTTTCTGCCACCCTTGCCTGGTCTGCCTGCCTGTCTCTCACTCTTCTCTACCTTCTTATTGGCCTTTTAGAAGTCACCCAAAGAATTAGGTATTGAATCTAGCCAACTTTTCCACTTACTGGCTGAGTGACCTTGAGCAAGCACCTCCTCTCCCCACAGCCTCAGTTTTGCCCTCTGTGGAATGGGCATAAAATCTTCCCAGTGCAGAGAGGATGAGGGGAGACCAGGGGAGGGCCAACCAGCCCTCCTCTCTGCCCCCCTCACCTGCTGTGTTCCTCTGCCATTGTCTCTCCCCTCTGCTCCCCTTTGGTCTTAAGCATCGGGCAGGGAAATGGCAAGCACCCAGGCCACGTGGGTCCCTATCCCTCACTCAGTCTCTCCTCTCTCTCCCCTGACACAGCCCCCCAGCATCCACACGGAGCATGAACATTGAGGATGGCGCGTGCCCGCGGCTCCCTGTGCCCTCCACTGCCGCCCGGTAGGATGTCCTGGCCCCACGGGGCGCTGCTTTTCCTCTGGCTCTTCTCCCCACCCCTGGGGGCCGGCGGAGGTGGTGTGGCAGTGACATCTGCCGCCGGAGGGGGCTCCCCACCAGCCACCTCCTGCCCCGCAGCCTGCTCCTGCAGCAACCAGGCCAGCCGGGTGATCTGCACACGGAGAGAGCTGGCTGAAGTCCCGGCCAGCATTCCGGTCAACACACGGTACCTGAACTTGCAGGAGAATGGCATCCAGGTGAGCCAAGCCAGGCGGCTGGAGGGGGGGCACAGGTGGTGCTAGGGGATGTGTGCAGGTGACAGCCAGTCTCTCCTGTAAGCCTGGCCCTGGAGGGGCCTTCTGGGCTTCCCACACCAGCTCTTTTCCCTCCCTGGGCACCTGTGGGATGCAGTTTGCATCCTTCTAAGGAGGGGCTGAGACTCCCTGCCTCAGCCTCCATGTGCCAGTGTGTCAGGTCTCCAAGCACAGGGCCACCTGCCCACCCCCCACAGCAAGGGACAGGCAAAGTGTGCTGAGAACAATTATTCCACAAGCACCTCCGTGCCATTTGCGCTGCCACAACCTTGTATGGTCCCAGGAGCATGACAGCATGACTGGGCTGCAGTTTCTCCATCTGAACAATGGGAATGACCAGAGTCCCTGCCTGGAGGGCTCAGTGAAGGCTGCTGGATTTCATATTGGTCAAGAGCGTAGCTCTCGCTCTGGATCTGGCAAGCCATCAGCTGCACAGCTTGGGCTTTGCATCCCTGTTTCCTAGAGTTGGTGTGAGAACCAGAGAGCTGAGAGCTGTCCAGCACTGGGTGCCATATTGGCACAAGACTGGTGCTCAGGACGTTCAGTTCTATTAGATTAGTTATGATTGTGGTTAAGACAGGCCATAAACAATGCCAGGGCAGGGGCCGGTTTGGCTGTCTTAAAGCAGCATTTCTCAACCTCTGCCCTATGACATTTGGGGGTAGATCATCCTTTGTTAGGGACGGGGGTCTGTCCTGTGCACTGTAGGCTATTGTGCAGCATCCCTGCCACAAGGTGCCTGGGCCCCCCGCCCCCCACTTGTCTCCTAAACTGTCTCCTGACATTGCCAGCTCATCACCCCGGGCTGAGAACCACTGTTTTAAAGGCAGTTAGTCAACCCCTGTCCCCACACAGGCCTCCTCCTATCCTGGCCACATGTGCCGAAGGTCCCAGACCACCTCCCACATCTAAGCTTTCTCTTAGCAGCTGCATTTTTCCCAGGGGTGAGAGGATTCACCAGCTCCCATTTGACTATCCTGAGAGCCAGATTCGGGAAAGAGAGGGGACCTAACCCTTGAGGAGCAGTCCCTTCCTGGGTGGCAACCAGAGAAGGGGTCCAGTAGGCTCACAATGCCCCACCTTGCCTGTAAGACTTTATCCTTTTGTCCAGACCCACCTCACCAGTCGCTCTCTAAGAGCCTGCCATCCCTCCTAGTCCACTGTGAGTCTACATCACATCCCTCTAGCTGTAGGCTCAGCTGACCCGTCTCTCCCATATGGAGACCAGCATTCTACAGCTCACTCTGTGCCACACACCTGCCCCGTGTTGCCTGCACTCCATCCTTCCTTCATTCAGGCATGAGACATTTGACAAGTACAGACAACACTGGCCACGCCAAGCCCTGACCCAGGTCATGGCCAAGCTGGGCCAAGCCCAGCCTCATCCCTGTGAGCCTCATATTCTGGTGAGGAAGAACCACTGAGCATGTAAGCTAGATGGAGTGTCAGGGGAGAGTGATAGAAAAACCTGAGTGAGGGATGTTAGGGCATTGGTCCAGGGGGAGGTGTCTGGGATGAGGAAGTGCCCCAGGTGGGGACAGCAGCCCCTTAGTAGAACCTGGACCATCTTCTCTTCGGGGAGCTCAATGAACAAGTGTCCACAGGCACTTGCTGAGCACCACCGGTGGACATGTGTGAATTTATTTATCATATGCCACAAACAGGTGTACTGTATCCACGTGTCAGGCACATGAGAAAGCATACAGCAAAATGGACATTGTTAAAGAATGAAAAAGCATGAGTAGCAAACGCTTTCATTTTGTCCCCAGGGGTTCTTAGACCCCACTGTGGAGACCACCAGCTCCCCCAGAGGGCAGAGAAAGGATGTGGAGATGATGAGAGCGGACACTTGGAAGTGCTTGTTCAGTAGATCTGTCCTCCCTTAGTGAATGCTTTCTAGTGCCCAAGAGGAATGGCTGCTTCAAGCGCAATCAGAGGCTTTTTAAAAAGTAATAATAGGCCAGGCACAGTGGCATGTGCCCATAGACCCAGAACTCTGGGAGGCTAAGTTGGGTGGATCATTTAAGCTCACAAGTTGAAGACCAATCTGAGCAAGAATGAAGCCCTGTCTCTACTAAAATTAGAAAAATCAGCAGGGTGTTGTGGCAGGTGCCTATAATCCCAGCTACTTGGGAGGCTGAAGCAAGAGGATTGCTTGAGCCCAAGAGTTTGAGGTTGCTATGAGCTATGACACAGGGCACTCTACGCAGGGTTACAAAGTGAGACTCTGTCTCAAAAAAAAAAAAAGGTAATAATAAATCTCTTGTAGTTCACAGCATGATGGTTGGGCGTTGACACACATGTGTGTGCTGTGCCTCCCTCAGGCCTTGTTAGTACGTCACACATTTACCTGTCTGCTATGAAAAAAATTCCAAGATCAAGGAGCCAACGGGAAAAAAAGTAATAATAAATTTGTAATTATCCAGCTGGGAGGCAGTGGCTCACACCTATAATCCTAGCACTCTGGGAGGCTAAGGTGGGTAGATTGCCTAAGCTCAGGAGTTCGAGACCAGCCTCAGCTAGCAAGAGATCTCATCTCCAAAATATAGCCGGGCACTCTGGTGGCACCTGTAGTCGCAACTACTCTCAGGAGGCTAAGGCAAGAGAATCACTTGAGCCCAAAAGTTTCAGGTTGCTGTAAGCTGTGACGCCATGGCACTCTACTGAGGGCAGCAAAGTGAGACTTTGTCTCCGGAAAAAAAAAAATTGTCATTATCCAAATTAAAACATGAAAAAATATCACACCAGTCCCACCACCTAGATATAAATAACTACTATTTCTGTTTTGCTTTTTAATACCTTCCTGGCTCTTTCCTGTGCCTATGTAGATTACTTTTTAGTTACTTGTTACAGACTGAATGCAAATTAATCGAGAAAAACTAAAAAATATACACAAAAGCCAACCATAATTCTCCGGCCACAATAACTTCCGGTATCTCCCAGTCAGACGTCCTCCACACATGCTCAGTGCACTGCACAATAGCAGATTTATAAATGGATTTTTTGCCTTTTTTTTTTTAAAGAAAAAATGGAATCACACTATTTCATACTGGTTTGAAACATGTTTTTGGCACCTAGCAGCATAACCATGAGAATCTTCCTCTGTGGCACTAAATATTCTTCTATGATGTTGTTTTTAAAGACTGCATAGTATTCTGGTACATGGGCGGCCTGTTATTTAACTAGTCCCTTCTTCCAATTTCTGAACTGACATAAACAACACCACGGTGAACATCCTTGCGCTCATTCATCCTCACATTCTGGATTCTGCCCTTGGCATAAATTCCTAGAAGTGGAATTGCTGGGTGTGCAGGAAGATGAGAAAGCACCACCCTGGGAGCCCTGTGTCTCCCTCTCCTGGGCCCACGCTCCTCCCCCTCCTGCCCATGGCATCCCTAGAGATGGGCTGAATTCTGGAGATCTGAGCCCAGCTTCCCCCTGTGGACTGGTGATTTGTTTGGCCTCTGGCTCCCCCACTGTGCTGTCACCTACAGGAGGGCAGAGACTTTGCACCTTCCCTGCCGTGTCCCAGCACCTAGACCAGAGCCTGGTGTGCAGTAGGTGCTCAGTAGATACCTGCCTGTGAATGGAAGGCAACTTGCGGGCTCCTGCCCAGGTACTTGGCAGAGACCCAGGCCATCTGCCAGCAGGAGCTAGAGGCAAATCCCTGCAGCGCCCTCCTGTGAGTGCTTAGAAGTTCTGTCATCTGTTCTCACGTGGCCCTGGCTCAGGACACAGTATGGGCAGCAAGAACCACACATGGGACTCTTAAGTGCATCGAGTGGTGGCACTGGGTTCTCTCTGAAAGGTAGTTGTCCACCTTTGGCAAGGTGATAAAATGTCCTTCTGCAACATGACAGGTAGCAGGGATAGCAGGTGGTCCCTGTGGTAAGACAGGCCTTTTTTTAAATCTACAATCTTCCAGGAGGCTCCTGATTGATTTTTTTTTTTTTGAGACAGAGTCTTACTTTGTCACCCTTGATAGAGTGCTGTGGCATCACAGCTCACAGCAACCTCAAACTCTTGGGCTCAAGCAATCCTCTTGCCTCAGCCTCCTGAGTAGCTGGGACTACAAGCTCCCATCACAAGTCCTGGCTATTTTTTAGAGACGGGGTCTCACTCTTGCTCAGGCTGGTCTCGTTGTTGTTGTTGTTGTTGTTGTTAAAGAGTCCCACCCTATGCCCTGAGCAGAGGGCAGTGGCTTCATAGACACTTGCCGTGGCACCAGCTGGGTTTTTCATTTTTTTAATGAGTCAGGGTCTCACTCTCACTCAGACAAGTCTTGAACTCCTGAGCTCAAGCAATCCTCCCACTTCAGCCTCCCACAGTGCTGGGATTACAGGCATGAGCCATCGCACCTGGCTCTCAGGCTGGTCTCAAACTCCTGAACTAAAGCAATTCACTTGCCTGGGCCTCCCAGAGTTGAAGGATTATAGGCATGAGCCACCTCACCCAGCCTCCCTGATTGATTTCGTGATTGGTGGAGCCTGCAATGCCTTCTGAGCTGGAGGGAGACCTGGAGACCGCCTCCTCTGCCCTGTACGCCCCAATACCACTCAAGCAACCAGGGACAGGGCTGTCCGTCAGTCTCCTCAGGGGTTCATAAACTGTACCGCCCTGGCAGGCTTGGCTAGTTCACCACAAACCTCAGCAGGCATGTGGTCCTTGCTGGACCATCTCCTTCTTCCTTCGTGGCCCTCATCCTTATCTCCCCCACTTCCCCTCCACCCGAAAGCCAACCATCCTAATGTGTTTACTGTGGATCTTTCTGCATGTGTGTGTTCCTGAAAAATATTTATTGTGGCTTTGTGTGCATGTATTTTTTATTTATGTAAATGAAGCTGCACTGTAGATCGCTTTCTTTGTTTCACTGTTTTCACTCGGCCTGTTTCTGAGTTGCTGTGTCTACTCCACTCCTTTAACTGCTGCAGAATTGACAGGCACCCGCCAACCCCCCTCCCTGCCTGCTGACAGACATCCGGAGGCTTTTGGCTTCCCCACCAAAAACCCTCACTCAGGGCCCCTTTGGGAGCTAGGCGTTAATTTCTGTGGAATATATACCCAGGGGGAGTTGCCGGGTCATAGGATACGCATGTACTTAATTTAACAAAATACCACTGGATCCACTTAAGGCTTTTAGCGGCTGCCCTGGGTCCCTCCTGGGGTCCACCATGAGGTCATATGGTGAGGAAGTGTGATTCTATCCTAAGAAACAAACCAACCCATCCTAAGAAATTCAGAAGAGCGGTTTCAAAGAGTTATGTGTAAGACTGGCCCAACAGCTAACATTTAGAAGCAGCCTCAGTTCCTTATAAAAAGTGGATTAGCTAAATGACTGACTGTACACTCTTACAATGGAATATCATACAGCTACTTAAAATGGATTTCAAAGAATATCAAATGCCATGGGGGAAATGCTCAAAACAGAATTCTGAGCTTTCAAAAGATTATCATGTTCAAATTGTTGAAAAAATTCAGTTTAGGGGGCAACGCCTATGGCTCAGTGAGTAGAGCGCTGGCCCCATATGCTGAGGGTGGCGGGTTCAAACCCGGCCCTGGCCAAACTGCAACAAAAAATAGCTGGGTGTTGTGACGGGTGCCTGTAGTCCCAGCTACTCCGGAGGCTGAGGCAAGAGAATCAACTAAGCCTAAGAGGTTGTTGTGAGCTGTGACCCCACACCACTCTACCAAGGGCGATAAAGTGAGACTCTGTCTCTAAAAAAAAAAAAAATTAAAAATTAGCCAGGTATTGGTGGCACCTACCTATACTCCTAGCTACCCAAGAGGCTGAGGAAGGAGGGTCACTCGAGCCCAGGAGTTGGAGGCTACAGTGAGCTATGTGTGGTCAAGCCACTGAAGAAAGAACATCCGTGACAGATGAGATTTGCTCACCTTTCCCTGAAGAAGAAAAAAGAAACTAAACTTTCTTTAGTTTACCCTGGGCCAGGGAACCAGGCGTTCCCTCTCTGCAGGGTCTATTATTCTCATAGGCCCAGATTACTTCTCCTGTTTTATGGATGAGGAAACGAAGACCCAGGTGGCTCTGATGGACCTGTCACCTAGCTAAGCTGTGACCTTCATGGACTTTCCCTGTGCCCCCCAAAAGGGGCTCTGCCTTCCCCTCCCCCAGGAGCCAGCACGGAGAAGCCAGGCCCAGACAGTCACAATGGTGCAGCTGCAGTTAGGCAGGTCTGCTGCAAAGAAAATTCCGCCCTAGTCATCACCAAGGCCAACACCAGAAATGGCTTTCCAGTCGGCACAAGGCTTTCCGGGTGGCCAATCCCCTCTGGTAGTGTGAAAGGAGAGTTTTTACTGGACTGACTGTTCCCAGTTAAGAGTCCTTTAAGAAGAAAATGACAGGAGGGAAGATCTAGAAGTCGACCCACTCTTGAAGTCAACTATGATGGTGCATGGCTGCAGGCTAATGACTGGCCCACCAGCAGGCCTTCTGGGTAGCAAGGAGCAGCCACCGTTTGTGCTGCCAGGACTTCATGTCCAACTGTGGCCTCTCTGGCTTTTAGCCCAATTCCAATTTCTTCTCCTTCATTTTCTCAGAAGCATCATGGCAGGGCCTGGATAATCCTTGTTGCCCCCTCAGAGCCTCAGTTCCCATGCCTGCCAAATAGCACTCCTGATACTTTTGTCCTTTTTTGTTTTTTGGGGTTTTCATGAGAGAGAGTCTCACTCTGTGCCCTGGGTTGAGTGCCGTGGCGTCAGCCTAGCTCATAGCAACCTCAAACTCCTGGGCTCAAGAGATTCTCCTGCCTCAGCCTCCCAGGTAGCTGGGACTATAGGTGCCTACCACAGTACTCAGCTAATTTTTTGTATTTTCAGTAGAGACAGGGTCTCAGTCTTGCTCATGCTCGTCTTGAACTCCTCACAGAGTGCTAGGATTATAGACCTGAGCCACTGCACCCGGCTGTTAGTTTCTTCTTAACTTTTTCATTTTGATGCATGACACACCCACAAAAAAGAATGCCAGACATACAAGTCTGGCTCAACAGATTATCATACAAAGAGGACAGCCATGTAAATGCCACCCAGTTCAAGAAATGAAATATAGAGACCCTCCTTGAACCTCCCCCTTTTCCTTCCAACCATAAGCCTCCCCTGACTTCTGACTGCAGGGGTCATTTGGGCTGCATGGGCAAGGGCTGGTGCAGGCCTGTGATGGGGTGGGTCTAATTGCTGTGCTCTACACCATTGTTGGAATTCATCCTGTGGTTTCATGTAGCCATGCCTTCCTTCCTCTCCTTCACTTTTGTATTGTTGTATAATATTCCATCACATGAATATCCTGTAGTAAGTGCCAGGGCTTGTGACTGTGGGAGACAGTTGAGCTTGACTCACAACTCTGCTA